TCTTTGAAGGAAGAATCTATTCAGTCCCATTTACCGGCCTCCCCTTCCCTCCTCATTCCCTCGCAAGTTCCCCCTTTTTGGATAGAAACGTTGGGCACGTTTCCTTGCTCCACACTCACACCTCTGTTTACCTGTTTACCCCTTCAAATTTTTTTAAAATAATAATAATTTGGTCACTTTAACCCACGACTGTTTGTGGGACATTCCTGAGCGCAATTGGCTGCCACAATTCACCCACAAAATGTACAATCAATTCACTTTACAGTATATATCCTGTGAAGAGCTTTAAGATGTCTCAAAGACATGATGTGGTGCTATATCCAATGCAAGGATTATTATCTATCTATCTATCTATCTATCTATCTATCTATCTATCTATCTATCTATCTATCTATCTATCTATCTATCTATCTATCTATCTATCTATCTATCTATCTATCTATCTATCTATCTATCTATCTATCTATTATCTAATCTATCTAGCTGTCTGTCTGTCTAGTTCCCTCTTGAAAGCTAATGTGGACTCGTGGGAGGGTGAGGGAGAGAATGAGGTCATTAGGATCTTCTGGAGCTGAAATGGATCAAATTGGTCACTCACTCTGTGGCTGTTTGTGGGGCACTGCTGTGTGCAAACCGACTGCCTGATTTCACCCACAAAACACAGTCAAAAAACACTTTATAGTTTATACTTCATCCTGCGAAGCGCCTTTGAATCACCTCGACAATGTGATAAGGCATTATACTCAGCATTATTATTATTATTATTATTGTTACTGTTATTGTTATTATTATAATCTACCATCTGTTAAAGTCTAACCACGATGGCAGTGTTGATGGACTGTGGACCCTGACATAAAATTGTTATTCCTTTGTTTTTAAGGGATTATTACCCCGGAAAGCGATCCGCCAATCGACTAACAGCCGGGTTCCCGCTGACCTCGTCCAACTACCTGTGTTTATTTGACGCTAACACCCCGAAAGGTTAACTTCTGGGTCTGTTTCTGTGTCCCCACTGTCCACTTCCACGGTTCCCTCCCGTTTTCATCCCTATTTCCGATATGCTCCGAATCTCAGAGGGTTTCCGTTTTTTCGAAGAGAAGTGTTGCGGAAACCTTTGTCGGTTTATTTCCCGGAGATGAATTCCCTTTAAATTTCAGGACCTTTAACATACAAAAGTTTAAATAAATTTAAAGAGACCCCACACCCTACACCCCGCACCCCCCCCCCCACCCCGCCCTCTCCCTCCCACCCTGGCCCCCCGGACCAACCAATCACGGGAAGGGGATTTGCACGATGGCTTCTCATTGGCCGCTCTAGTGATGGGTGCCCCCCCCACCCCTCTCTGGGACACGCCCCTGATTCTTGTGCGCCAATCAATGCGCCGCGAGGAGGGGCGGCCACACCTTTGGTCAGTCTGGCCGCAGAGGGCGTGGCCTCGCTCCACCCGCCCGCGATTGGGCCAAACCTACAGAGGCGGAGCTGTGTGAGCACAGGACCCGCCCCCTTCTCGCTCGTCAGCAAAAATCTTGATCACATTCATCACCAAATCAATCAATCAATCAATCAACCAATCAATCAATCAATCAATCAACCAATCAATCAATCAATCAATCAACCAACCAACCAATGTCATGTACAATGACGAGCCTCAGGGCCGTGTCATCTCGTCACAAAACTTACTGCAAAGTTGCTTTGCGGGTGAAACACAGCACCGTTCCCCCCCCCACCCTCCCCCCCACCTTCCCCCCACCTTCCCCCCACCACCTCCACAAACAGCCGCGGATGTCGGCGACCAATTTATTTACAGTATTTGGGGTTTTGATTTATTTCGGGGGATTTGTTGGTCAAGAAACCAGGAGAGAGAAACAGTGCAGTGTCTCGGGTTCACCCCCTCACCCCCTCTCAGAGCTGCATTGGAAGTGACATCTTAATCCATGTGATTCGAAATCTCGACGCGGGGCTTGAACCCACAAACTTCTGACTCGAACAACAACAACGACGACAACAAGATTACATTTGTATAGCGCCTTTCACCGTCGGGAGGACGTCCCAAAGTGTTTCACCGGGCGGGAGAAGAAGGTGGCGAACGAAGAGGTTAGTTTGCAAGACAGGGTTTGAAGGGTGAGAGGGAGGGGACGGGTCGAGGCAGAGGGATTGGGGCAAAGGGTACCGGAAAGCAGGGCAAAGGGTACCGGAGAGCAGGGCAAAGGGTACCGGAGAGCAGGGCAAAGGGTACCGGAGAGCAGGGCAAAGGGTACCGGAGAGCAGGGCAAAGGGTACCGGAGAGCAGGGCCAAGGGTACCGGAGAGCAGGGCAAAGGGTACCGGAGAGCAGGGCAAAGGGTAACGGAGAGCAGGGCAAAGGGTACCGGAGAGCAGGGCAAAGGGTACCGGAGAGCAGGGCAAAGTGACTGCACAAGAGTTAACAGCAGTATCGCTTTGTTCCGCAAAAAAAAAAACTGGTAAAAAAAAGCTTGAAACGATTAACACGAAGCAGCTGAAGCAGATCGGAAATCTGTAGAGTTTATTCAGACCAAAGCATGAACGGCAAAGCACTGCGAGCAAACAATACAATATACAATACCATACAGGAATATAACAACACAGCAATGCATCGGCTCCGAAGCGAGTGAACTCCCCCCTTCTCGGTCTTTGAAAATGGTGCCACATTTTGGCCATCAGATGGTGCTGTAAGAGTAGGAACGGCTCGTGTCTGCCCCACTCGAGTGCGCGCGTCAGAACATAATTGTGTTAATACTATTGATGGACGCTATATGTTCCCAGAAGTGAGTCTGTGCATCATACTTTATCCCTCTGAGCAGGTGTTGAAATACCTTGCCCCCAGTCCGTCCTGATCTATCAATGACTCCTTTGTGTAACTTCATAACAACAACTTGCATTTATAAAGTGCCCTTCAAGCCGGACAGTGTACTCGGAGCGCTTAAATAATATTAACTATGTTGTTATTTGATATAGAGCCTTACCACGTCTTCTAGACGTCCTGAAGTGCTTCACGGGATATAATGTAAAGTGAATTGATTGTGTATGTTGTGTTCCTCTTTAGGCAATGCTCAATTTGAGTATTTCCAAGGAATCGCACACAGTTATGAATTAGAAAGGTTAGAAACAAACTGTTTCCACGATAAAAGCCATATTAACATGACAAGCACGGCAACAGGTCATCAGCCGAACACACGTGTCAGACACCGCACCCGAGTTGCGCCCATTGACAGCTTAAACACGCAATGTTAAACTACCATCTCCTCTTCGACCGTGCGCTCGATCACCCTGCTCCCCCCACCCCTCCCTCGCCTCCCAACCCCCTCGACCCCGACCCCCAGCTCGGGTCCGAACCACTGACTGTCCAGCACCTTGGGACGTCCTCCCGACACGAAAGGCGCTTTACACATGTAACTTTGTTGTTGTTGTTGGTTAACAGGCCGTGTTACTGTCACGTAAACAGCCCTGCACGTAAATACGGCACTTCGCCATACAAACGTCCCACACGGCATGTAAACACGTCACGCCAAAACCTTATGCCTTGGAATATATCCTTGAGCACGTCTCATGGTTTGATAATTCCACACTTCTTAAGAAACCTGTCAAGAAACAGCGCAACTTAGACCCCAGCGCGTCAACCAAATCTCACGATCGCACTTTCCAGTACTTCAGGTCCGTTTCCCTATTTCAACAATTCTCTTGTTGTATACGCAGCAACAAGACAGCTGAGGATTTTCACCATTGACTCGCACTCAAAGGCAGGATGCATTTTGCAGTAATTATAATAATAATCCCGGCATTTGATACAGCGCCTCATCGAGACGTCTCAAAGCGCTTCACAGGATACACTGTAAAGTGAACTGACTGTATATTGTGTGGGTGAAACGCGGCAGCCGATTGCGCACAGCGGTGTCTCCCATAAACAGCCGTGGATTGAAGTGACCAAATTATTTTCATTTTTTGTTTGAGGGATTATTGCCCCCATCAGTTATTGGGTTCCTACTGGTGTGTGGAGTAAGGAAACTTGCCTAAGGTTTCTCCCTGCCCGGGGATCGAACCCCGGTCCTCTCGCTTGCGAGGCGAATGCTCTGACCCCTACGCTATGGAACCCCAATTCTGAAAATGTTTTAGCTAATGTTCTCCCCTCCTGAGTACTATTGCCGAAGTCCTCAGTCCTAACAGTATTTCTCACGCCCAAACCCCAAAAGTGACGGTGAGCAGACTATGGGGGGGGAGGAGATGTCAATTCATGCTACAGCCAACCAACATCTAAAACGAATTGATATTTGCGTGTGGCGCTGCACCTTATCAGGTTGAGATGTCTCAAAGCTCTTCAAAGGATTTACAGTAAAGCTCAGTGACTGTTGTGTGTGTGTGTGCGTGTGGGCGAATGCAGCAACCAGTGGTGTCAGAGAAACCTCTCGCAAACAGCCATGAAAAGGGGCTTCCCAACTCTCTCTGGGGATCGCTGGCCAGGACACCGGGAGGAACTCCCTCCTCTGCTTGGCCAGCTCGGACCCGTTAGGGCTTTGGATTGAGTGGGAGGATTCCCAACCCCCACATTTGCTTTCATAATACACACACATGCGCATTCGTCATTCTTTGCACTATACCCTGTGAAGTGCTTTGAGACGTCCTCATCATTGGCAGGACCTGGAAAGGCAAACCAGTTACTGGGGGCAGAGGGCGGGGGGAAGGGGATGTTGGAGGGGAAGAATTGCAGATCCCACCTCAGGAGTTTGAGAGGATCTAACCCACAAATGGCGTGGTTTTTGTTGATAAAAATGTCATCAAAACATTCACTTGTGTCAGGAAGCAGGACGGGAGCATGTGTTAGGTCCCGTCGGCAGATAAACTGCTGATTTTGAGGTTCTTACAGAAGGTCCCCTCCCTCCCCCTCTACCCCAGACTTCCCCTTCTATCCTCCGCGTCTCACTGGGTTGGAGATGAACACGGACACAGACCGACCCAGTTTCTGGAATTGATTGAGACGACAGGAAGAAAAGACAAAACATCCCCTTTTATTTTAACAGCGACCATTTGATCTGTTCCTTCGCTGATTGGAGAACCTGGAGAGAGAGAGAGAGAGAGAGAGAGAGAGAAAAAGGAGGTATTTTAATGCGACCATCATTTTTAAGCGGATGTCACGATCAGCACTCAATCTTACAATGAGAACAATTAAAATATTAAAACCAATCACGTTCCTTTTTTACTTTTTTCCGCCTGAGCAAAGGCCCAAATTACCCCCTCGGCTCAATCTGTGCGGCAATTTGTCTCAAAATTAAGAGGTTAATCAATAATAATTGTATTTTTGTATCTGGCATTGTATTCGATGTAGCGCCTTATCGCACCGTCGAGACGTCTCAAAGGGCTTTCCCCGGGATGTTACTGTAAAGTACAGTGACTGCGTATTTTTCGGGTGAATGTGCGGTTGTATTTTAAGGTCGTTCTGCCCGATCGTGGCTGTTTGTGGACATTAACGCGCCCACTGCATTCGCCTCCAAAATGCACAGAGGTCGAGACACAAAGGTCGCCACACTTTACACTGCATCATGCGAAGCGCTTTGAGATGTCCTCCCGACGTGAAAGGCGCTATATCAAACGTAAGGATTATTATTAGCGTTATAAAGCACAATAATCGAGTGCTCGTTTCAGTTAGTGTCTGTGAGCTAACACATAGGGTCAGCTCGAGTTCAGTTGCCCTGAGGCTGCACAATCTCAGAGGAGATTGATGCACAAAATAAACCAGGGTCACTCAGGCAGTGACAAAGGTTAGTGGGTAATAATAATCCGTGCGTCTGGTACAGCGCCTTTCATGTCGGGGAGGGGAACACCTCAAAGACCCTCACAGGATATATTATATTCAAAGTGCTCTGGGACGCTACTCGGCGTGAGGGGTGATATATAAAGGCAAGTTATTGTCGTTGTTATACCTTAAATTGTGTTCACTGTATAAACCCAGCAGCCAATTTGCACAGAGTCACGACCCGTCAAACGGCCACGGAGTGAATGGTCGGTTGTATTTGGGGGACTGTTGGCCAAGACACTGGGGGAGAGAGAGCGCGAGAGAGAGAGGGGGAGAGAGAGAGAATCCTTCTCTTTTCGAATTTGTCCGGGGATTTTTAACGTCCACCTGAACAGGCAGACGGGACCTTCGGTTTAACTTCTCACACAAAGGACGGCACCTGTACCCCTGAGCCCTGCCTGCGGTGGAGCTTCAGCTTAGTTCAAAATGAGTTCAAAGTCCTGACACGGGACTTGAACCCACAAACCTCTGACTCAAGAGGCCAGAGAGCAACCAACCGGCAAGTGGGGTTCTCAGTGAAGTGTCACAGTGTCTGACCACCGATCACACGAAGCATTGGTTTCCTTGAGTTTTCTCTCTGATCTTCCTCCCTCACTCTGTGAGTCCGGGGCCATCTTTTTCCCTATCTGCTCTCTTGGGGCAAGAGGACATCAACCCAAGCCGCCTTCTCTGCCCCCCCCCACCACTACCACGCACACACACAGTCACTACTCTCAGTCACTGCGAGGAAGAGCCCGTGAAGAGCTCAGCCCACTTTCCCGTTGCAGTAAGGAGAGGAGCTGAGCAGAGTTAACCAAGCAGGTTAGGTTAGTATACTATAGTCTCAGGTTAGACAGTGTAGCCAGGTGCCCTGGGATGCTACCCTACGTGAGGGGTGCTATCTAAATGCAAGTTGCGGTTGTTGTTCTATAGATTCACAAAAATCACAGGAGTTTTGGAGGAAGGTAACTCATCAGCCCATTTGGTCTCATCCTTCCAGAGTTGTCACCCTATTATCTTCCCATTACACATTTCTCCAATGATCTGATCAACAATACCGTCCTGAAATAGCTCTTCTCATCGCTAAACCTGCCATCGTTCACCCTACAAACCTGGGACCTGCTATCCTGCGACCTTGGCATCTACTCTACTTAAAAATATTAGGTCGGTGGGAGGTGTCCCTCAGGGAGAGAGAGTTCGCATTCCATTCCAACAATCTGTCTCTGGGATTTCCATGTGTAGGTGGGACGCAGGGAATTCCTCAGCTTGGTTTGGAGACTCTTAAGCACGGGGATGGGCTTCAGCATGTGTCAGACACCCGGCTGAGCAAAAATATATATATATTTTTTTTATGGGAGGAACGACCACTTCCCTGGTCCCTGCCCAGGAGAGGGTGGGTATTGAAGCAGCTCACGGGGATGTGTGTGGGCAACCGCAGGAAGGGAGAATCACAACCCAGGAGCAATCAAGTGATCCCCAACAGAGTCACCGTCGTTAAAAAAAAAAGGATTTCCTGCCGCTTTTAGTCTGTGTGTGCGTGTGTGCAGGTGTATATGGCGTGTGTGTGAATGTGTGTGTATGTGGTGTGTATGTGGTGTGTATGTGGTGTGTATGTGGTGTGTGTGTGCATGTGTACGTGGCGTGTGTGTGTGTATGTGGTGTGTGTGTATCTATAAAAGATCTTTTTGTTTCAACGAGATCCTGTATTTTCTGAATTTGGCTCATTCAGACACCGGGAGCTCTGAAAGGTGATGATCCCTAAACAGGATCCCTCACTAAGGAAATCAGCCGTGCGTCACTCTGCCTCGAGGGAGCACCACGATGGTGATGGAGGTTCAAAGCGGGTCCGAGCAGCAGATTCCACTCAGAAGGTTTGATGATACAATCCTATTTTTAAGTCCCATAGCTCAGTGGTTAGAGCACTCGCCTCGCAAGCAAGAGGACCCGTGTTCGATTCCCGGTCAGGGCAAAACCTTTGGGCAAGTTTCCTTACTCCACACACAGGCCTTCGTTTACTCAGCAGTAAGTAGGTACCCTGTTGTTCGTCGATTGGCAGATCGCTTTCCTGGGGTAAATAATGCTCTCCCCCCAAAAAAAACAATGGTCACTCAATCCATGACTGTTTGTGGGACACCGCTGTGCGCAATTGGCTGCTGCGTTTCGCCCACAAAATACACAGTCACTGCACTTTACAGTATATTTTGTGAAGCGCTTTGTGAGACGTCCCAGCGACGTGATAAGGCGCAACATCAAATGCAGAGAGAGTTTAGACAGCGGCTTCCCGCTGGGAGTGTAGTGGGTTGCAGCCGCTCAACAGGGCAGAAGAGATCGCCTCGGCGAGAAACCTCAACGGGCGACATCAGTGTCTCTGCGCGCCAGGAATGATGCCATCTCACCCCCTACTCCTGGGGTCTGCCCTGCGATCTCTTCCGGACCTGGTTAAACCTCATCCCCATCCTCATCCACCCTAACCCACCTGCACCCACCAACCCTAATCTGGTGCGTCAGTTCCCAGCCATCTGCTGCACAATCATTTGATCCACCATTCTGGGAAATGTCATGTCTCCAAAGCCATATCAACTTAACGTGGATTCAACTCAGTCGGTCATATTCTGGCCTTGAGGAACCGGGTTATGGGTTGGAGACCCGGGTTAAGTCACAAGCTCCTTGGTCTAGGCCGACAGCAGTGTAGACAGCAGGAGTGCTGCACAGTCAGACGTGTTGTCCTTTGGGTGGTTTTTTTTTTGCTGCTTAGATGGTACGGAGCGATGCTCTCGGTGGCGATCGATGGCCGTTCCAAGTATCACCAGTAGGGGGCGCTCTGGGTCAAGAGTTACAACTTTCCAATTGACTTGTTCGTTTTCCCTCTCCCCCTCAAAACTGTCTACGGCTCCATCTATTCTAAGCCGAGAGTTGCAGCCCTCCCTCCCTCGCCACACACAGTGAAAGCCGCAACAACTTACATTGTTAGCCACCCCCAGCTTCTTTGAGATTTGCTGTACGGAGAAGACGCAGAGGGTTAGTGTGTTAAACATGCTGATCTCAGCCACAAGCACCGGTTCATAGATTCACGATCATCGATTAGTCAGTCGATTAGTCATCGAGCACCAGCTTCTCTATCAGCAGCTCTCCTCCTGGGTCTTGGGTGGTTCTGAGCTGCCCAGACCCAGGAAAGTCCCAGGTTCGATCCCTGCTCTGGTCTGTGCTGATCTCGGGTTATTATAGTCCTCAGGGACTTGTGATTCCCTGGGTTCAGGAGGACTTCCCACTCACAGCAGGAAGGTGTGGGTGGAAGGGGCTCAGTCGTTGAAGACCCTCTGAGTCAAGATCCACACATGAAGAACAGCCAGTTGAACAAGGTATGCAGAGCATTTATCAGTCCATCCCCTGTGTGAGGCTGTGCCTTCGGTGGAACAGGAGAAGAACCAGAGAGACACTTTACAGATGTTACACAGACAGGATTTGTGTTTGCCTACAAAACACAGTCATTACACTTTACAGTAAATCCTGTGAAGCGCTTTGAGACATCCTCCCAACGTGACCAGTCCTATTGTGCAATGCAAGCATTAGTATTCAGTCATTAGGATCTAAGGTTGATCCGGGTGTGATGTGAAGCCAGAGTTTGTTACAGGGGATGTGAGGGAGCAGCTCAGTCCTGAACTGGAGTATAACCCAGGTTTGGTTGGAATCGCCCTAAACTCCAAAACCTCCAGCAGCAGTTAGTCTTAATCCCATTTTTCTCTAACGCCTGGCATCTGAACCGCAGGAGCATTTCATTCTTTTTTCCCAGCCCCTTCACTGCTGAAACCATTTTCTCTGGTGGGGTAATCCAGAACGGGGGGGGTGGGGGGCAGCATCTTACAATGAGAGCCAGGCCATTTAGGAGTGAAATCAGGAGGGAATTTTTCACCCAGAGGGTAGTGGAAATCTGTGAAATCCAAAAGGCTGTGGATGCTGAATCCATTCCCATTTTCAAGACTGAGGTGGATAGCTATTTGTTAGGTCAGTGATGGGGGGGCAAAGGCGGGTAATTGGAGTTGAGGTACAAATCAGCCATGATTTTATACAGTAGAATGTTTGAGGGGCCTGTTTATACTCCACACGAGCCCCATCCCTCCTGTTCCCCTCTCTTAATACACCTCGATTCCTTTGTCCCTCGTGTATATATCAAGTTCTATCACTCACTATCTTATATTTATGCTCTCCCGCTTTGGACTCACCAATCAGTGAAAATGGCCTTTCAACGTCCAGCTTATCCATCCTTTCATAACACTGAATCAGGCCCTGGATCAGGCCCCTCCTCAATCCTCTCAACTCCAGAGAAAAAAGAGCTGCAACTTGTTCAATGTTTCTTGAAAGCCATAAGCACTCATCCCCGGTGACACCCTTGTAAATCCCCGTTAGTACTTGTCCTGTACGCTCCACATACTGGAGTTTAAGGATGTCCATTTATCGTCGTGTGATTTGTCTTTGCGTTAATGCCTCTCGCTCTATGTCACTTAGCTCAGGACTCATCCCCCTGAGGTTTTCCTGGTTGCTAGAGTTTGGCTGTGTGCTTGTGTTATTGTCTTACCTGTGCCACACTGTGTTCTGTTAAGGGATTGTCATCCACCTATGGGGCAGAGTACAGCATCTCAATCAGACCAAAAAGACAGTCAAAGACACAGTCACCCCTTCACTATTTGTCTTCCTGTCGCTGAGTTAAAGATGCCATCCTCCTTTACACTCACTGACAGTTAAAAGTGCAGGTCCTCTCTTCTTTGATATAGCGCCTTATCACGTCAAATCGCTTCGCAGAAAGTGAATTGACCGCATATTTTGTGGGAGAAACATGGCAGCCAATTGCCCAAGGCAATGTCCCACGAACAGTCGAGGATTGAGTGACTAAATTATTATTTAAAAAAAATATTTTTGGACCACTTTATGAGCCCTGGAAAAGTAATCCGCCAATCGACTAACAACTGGGTTCCTACTCATCAAATAGGGGGGTGCGGAGTAAGGAAACTTGCCTCACATTTCACCCTGCCCGGAAATCAAACCTGAGTCCTCCCATTTGCGAGGTGAGTTGTCTAACCACTGAGCTACAGGACTCCACTGAATGGACGCTGAATGATTTTTCTCTCATTAGCCCAGGATTGCGTCTCAATTCGGCTCAGCCCAGAGATCGAACCAGCGACCTTCAGGTTCTGGGTGACTCAGTTCCAGAGTGAGTCATGGAGGGGGTAGAGAAGGGAGTGAAAAGGAGTGAGAATTCAGCAAAAGCCTAATCTAATTTCACACGACTGCCCAGAGAATGAGGTGGAAACCTGCTCTTGGGTTGAATGTGATAGGAAAGGATTCACGCAGCAATGTATGCAATCAGATGCAAAGCCGCCCCCCGGATTCAGGAAAAATACAATGCTAATAATGGTTAAACATGCAATGACTTACCCCCATGACTTAACACACACTGAGATCTGAACCAAACCCTGACATTTAACCCCCCCCCCCGTAACCAGAACCTCAGACTCGCAATATAAATTTCATCGCTCATCTCTTTTAGGATCAGTTTTTTTTTCAGTGAAAAACCCCTTATATTTAGAGCGTTGTAAGACGTCCAAATGTATTACACATTGTACCAAATTACTGTACGTCACTTACAAGGCATGTAAGTTAGGGTGCAACGCGGTGAAAATTGTGACATGTGAAGTATCAGCTGTTTTGTTAAAGGGATCTCATCTGAACTTTGTGGAACCAACCTGGTAACTGGCTGAGCAGCATTCCAACCCGCAGCCAGAACAGTTCCAACGGGAATGTGGGCGACACTGGTACCAACCACCGTGACAGGCTCAGGAGGGAAGGTCACCCCCGAGGCCAGTGGATAATTTAAAGCAGAATTTTCACTCAGTAAAATTTGGGGCAAGAGTCTTAATAAGTTCCCAATACAGTAACTGGTGGAATGTGCCCCCTTATAATGCTGGTTTGCTTATAAGGCTGTTGCTTTGTGCACTGTTGGCTTCAGTGTGCAGACCTTTGCTGGACACACAGGAAATGGTATAACCCGATGACCCGGACGTCCCAACCTGCGCCCACGCACAATAAGAGGTCAAACTGACACACAGGACTAAGACACACAACAGAGACAGCATTGACATGTGCCAGGAAGACAGAGCTAACATTCAGGACTGACGCAGGTGACAGTCCACACCCTAACACTCCACGCATCTGTACCTGGAACTACATGAGTTGGTTCTGGGATTGTCCATTACTCTGCCCACTAGTGCTGAGATAGTCAAAGAGAACGAAACCATAGGCTGGCTCTGAGATATTCTGTCAGAGAAAAATAGAGAGAGAGAGAGAGAAAGACAGACGGACAGGCAGAGAAATAAAACAGCGTGTGAATCCAGGAGAGGGGAATTGCAAGAGCGAAGGAAATGCGAGAAGTCAGAACGTTATAGGATAGAGACTCACCCTCAAGTTCACCTTCTGTATGACTTGCTGAGGGTCACTCTCCAGGATAACACTGCAAGACAGACAGAGGTGATTGTGAGTGACGACAGGAGCTAGAGGTACGACGACAACAACTTGCACTTAGACAGCACCCTCCACACGGATACCTTTTGTCTTCATGGTAAATCTTAAATGGAAGGCAGGAGACCTTTACGTAAGTAAAATAACAGTGACTTGAATGTCAGGAGGACGTCTCAAAGCGCTTTACACAGCGGACTGGAAGCCTGAGCTGGGGTGGGGGCGGGTGGGAGGGTTGGCAGAAGAGGAAAGCACAGTCAAAGAGAAAGACTTCAAGGTGGAGAAGGAGGTGGAGGGATTCTGGGATGGAATTCCAGAGAATGGCAGCAGATGGTGAGGTGGAGTGGGCGTGGAGATTGAAACAGGCTGTGTGTTTGCGGAGCAGTCAGTCGTTAGGGTCATGGAAGGTCCCAGGGTCGGGGTGAAGTGAGGCCAGGGAAGTATTTGAAAGTGAGGATAAGAATCCTGAATTCGATCTGCTGGGAGATTAGGAGCCAGCGCAGCAGAGCGAGGATGGAGGGTGACACGTTCACAGAGCCTGGTGCGGGAGAGGACATGAGCTGCAGAGCTCTGGATATCCTACGGTCTACAGTTTATGTAGGGAGGAGCCATGACTTTTCCCCTCTGTGTTTTTCCCACTCGATTCTTGAAAACTTTAAACCACGCTGGGGATGTTTCCATGATACAGCACAAGAAATGTTAGCTCTCATCCTGGACTCGATGTCTGACAAGACAATCTGCCAGAATAGCAGTGGGTTCTGGAGTCGAGGGTGGAGGCAGAGAGAAAGAGTTGGGTGTCATCTGCACACACCTGGAAGTTGACCCTATTTGTGTGCGGATGGCTTCACCAGGTGGGAGCATATAGATATCGAAGGGGAGGGGACCAAGGACAGAGCCCTGAGGACTGTAAGGGTTAATAAACCCAATTGTAGCCCAGCTTCTTGTGCTGTGGTTGAGATAGTGACTGTGAGGAACCTACAAGGTTCAGGTAAAGGAGAAGAAATAACACCAGAAAGTTTCCAGAGGATTTACCCTCCATCCACAATCTCATCCACCACCAGCAACACCCCGTCCATGTTGTCCAGCACAGATTTCTTCTCCACATTCCTCCTGTGGACAACAAACATACAAAGGATATTTCATTTCTGGAACTCTGTAACAAACAGAGTCAGACAAGCAGATTTGGTCACCTTCCTACCCCTATCCTCCCTCCTCTCCACCCCTATCCTCCCTCCTCTCTACCCCTATCCTCCCTCCTCTCCACCCCTCCTGATCTCAACCCCCAGCTCGGGTCCAAATTCTCTGACTGTCCAGAGCCTCTGGATGTCCTCCCGACTTGAAAGACACCGTATAAATGTAATTTATTGTTATCAGAGACAGAACAAAGCTCCCTCTGCACTATCCTTCCAGCACTGAGGTGTTGGGCAAAGCCACAAAACCTGAAAAGCTGGGACCTGACGCGGGGAACGGAAGTAAAGAGGTCGAGTGAGTGCCTCAAGAGTGTGTGGAGTCGTACTTACCGTAACATCTGGCTCAGGGAGTCAAACAGGCAACTGAGGACAGTCATTAACATGAGCTGTAAGAGAGGCAGAGGCGTTACACAACTCACGAAGCAACCACATAATAATAATAATAATAATAATAATAATAATCCTGGCATTTGATATAGAGCCTTATCACGTCGTTGAGACGTCTCAAAGCGCTTCACAGAATATAGTGTAAAGTGAACTGACCGCATATTTTTTTTTGGGGGGGGGGGGCGAAATGTGGCAGCCAATCGCACACGGCATATACACCGGGATACAGGATCTGTACAGCGGGGAATGTGACGTTACAGTTAGCGACGAGGGAGACGGAGGAAACAGAAAGTGTGATCTGCTTCAAGGACGAACGGGATAGATTTCTGCCGGAAAATAATATCTGGGGAGGCACTGTGAGGTTTGGGTCACGCCACGTCAGGCCACGGCCGGGAGGGTGGAAGGCCAACTCCAGGGGCCTTGGTGCTCGTACGTCCAGTTAATTCTTATGTTCTTATGTACTAATGCTGCCCCCCCCCCCGAGCCCCGGACGCTCTCCGGCCAACGGTCACCTCGTTCTGCTGTGGACTCCCCACCACATAGAAGTAAAGGTCGATGCAGCTCTTATACACAATGGTCAAACCTTCCAGGAACGCGATCTCACCTGGAAACAAGACGGTCAGAACCCACCGGGCAACAGCGGCCCCACCCTCACCCCGCCCCACACTGCCCCGCCCCCACACACTGCCCCGCCCCCACACTGCCCCACCCCCACACCACCCCGCACCCCACACCGCCCCGCCCCCCAACCGCCCCGCCCCGCCCCCCACACCGCCCCCCCCCCACACCGCCCCGCCCCCCACACCGCCCCGCCCCCCACACCGCCCCGCCCCCCCACACACTGCCCCCATCCACCACCCCGCCCCCACACTGCCCCCCCCCACACTGCCCTACCCCCACACTGCCCCGCCCACACCCTGCCTCCACACTGCCCGCCCCCACACACTGCCCCATCCACCATCCTGCCTCCACACTACCCCGCCCCCACACACTGCCCCACCCACACCCTGCCTCCACACACTGCCCCACCTCCACACTGCCCCACCCCCACACACTGCCCCACACACTGCCCCACCCACACACGCACTGCCCCACCCACACACACTGCCCACCGCCCCGCCCACACACACACCACACCGCCAACCCCAACCCACCGCCCCGCCCACCCTGGGCTAGGAGCAGGAGGAGGGACTGGAGGCAGTAGAAAGAAACTTACTGTCAGTTTTATGTGTTTTGTTGAAAACGTTCTTTTCAAAATTCCTCTGTTCCTTAGTGGAAGGATATGTGTCATCGTAATACTGCGGAGACAGTGAGACTGAGTCAGACAGACAGACAGACACACCCACACGGTTGGACAGCCCACATAGAGACAGACAGAGAGTCAGACAGACAGACAAACAGACAGACGGATGGACGGACAGACAGAGAGGAGATTAGTGCAGCATCACACTCAACCAACAGCCTCGAACGCCATCAGACCGGCTGAGCGCTGACCTTGGCACAGAGGCGCTGCCCGTCGTTGTCCAGGATGAGGAGCGCTTTCACCGTGTACAAGGACGGCTCCTGGAAGCACAAAACCACAGAACCAAGAGCATTTACAGCAAGAAACAACCTTCCTTTTCATGTCTGCCCTCCGCCCTCTCCAAATGTTATAATAATAATCCTTGCATGTGATATAGCGCTTTTCACGTCAGGAGGACGTCCCAAAGCGCTTCACAGAACACACTGCAAAGTGAATTGACTGTATATTTGTGGGCGAACGCGGCAGCCAATTGCGCACAGCAATGTCCCACAAACAGTCGTAGATTGAAAATGACCAATTTATTATTGTTTTGTTTTGGAGGGATTATTATTAGGTCATCCTCCCACCCCCACACCCCCTGCCCTCCGCCCCTCTCTGATCCCAACACGGCGGTTTGTTGTTGTTGTCCAGGACGTCACCCTATGTGAAGGGCACTGGATAAATGCAAGTTGCTGTTGTTCTCACTAGTCGTCCTCCCCTCGTGTTTCTCTTGCCTCCTGTTTACCGGGAGCTGCTGAGTGTTGTGTATCTCAAATTATCGAAAGGGGAAAACGTTTATAATAACAATAATAATCCTTACATTTGATACAGCGCCTTATCACAGCTTCGAGACGTCTCAAAGCGCTTCATAGAATATACTGTAAAGTGAATTGACTGTATATTTTGTGGGCGAATCAGAGTAAGCGACTCATTTCGGGTATACTTAGTTTTACGGGGCTTTTTAAGAGGCCTTTTTGGGGTTAACATTGGGGTACAGGTTAGGGTCTAGTAATTTGGACTATATTCTAGCATCCAAGCTGGACTGTCACCCAAGGCTAAGATTCTAGTCACTGTTCCACGTGGCACCCAAACAAGTGTGATTTTTACAGTGAAATCCCACTCAAGGCCGACACAGAAACATGGAATCCCAGGTGGGATCCAACCTTTGGGATGTGTACGGTTGAGCTCCACACTAACCTGTGGGCATTTACCCATCGAGGGTAACAAAGGTAACCAGGACGTGTAGGAACGGGAAGCAGGTCAGATAGCTTGATGCTCCTGTGTGAGCGAGTTTAGTCTGATGAGCCAAGACTCAGGCCTATGTCTGTGCAGCTCTCTGACACCTTTAAAGGCATCTTTAATTCCACTCACTTGAGCTCAGGAAATATTTCTTCAGATTGAGAGTAGTGAGATTGTGGAGTGCAGCCCCTCAGAGGGTGGACATGCAGAACCAACTGGGATTTAAGGGAGATCGACAGGTGGGTTTATACAACACTCCTATAGCACTGTGGGATGCGGGATGACGTTGTAATAAACAGGCAGAACAGGTTTGATGGTCTGAATGGCCTCGTCCTGTTCCTCTGACTTGTATCCAATTCTATGGTCAAGGCTCCACAGTACTGGGAATGTTCTTCAGACCGAGGTGCAGGGTCACATGTAAACGTGTGCCGTAACACAGTGTTCGTTGAACTCTCACTGCTGGGAGCCACTCACTTACCCACTGAACATGAAAGGCAGATTGAGTCAAGCATCGCTTTGAACTTTCAGAACTTGGCCAACAACACGAGAGACATTCAGCCTAAAAGTGCTGAGCCAAGGGTAAAGAGAGAGCAGAAACATGGAGTTCCCAACTGTTCCCTCAGGACACTCCCCAAACCTGGAATATAAGGGTTTTCAGGCAGCACCATATCCCTGGACATTTATTTCTGAACCCAGGTTCGAGTCCCGGTGTAGGGCAAAACCTTAGGCAAGTTTCCTTACTCTAACCGCCTCTGTTTACCGAGCAGTCAGTCGGAACCCAGTTGTTAGTCGATTGGTGGATCGCTTTCTATCAAAATCCCTCNAAAAAAAATCTGGTCACTTAATCCAACACTGGGGACGCTGCTGTGCGTAATCGGCTGCCGCGTTTCGCCCACAAAATACACAGTCAACCTACTTTACAATATATTCGGTGAAGCACGTGGTAAGGCGCCATAACAAATGTGACAATTATTAAGAATTGCGAAATGTAAGAAGGTTGGGGTGGGGTGGAGGGGGGAGTATGAGAGTGTGGCTTCCCCGGGCAGATGAAAATGATGCCCCTAGAGGTGCAAAGTGGAATTTGTTGTGCCTCAGATCCTGCAGACTGGTC